TACAGCTGAGATTGAGGAAGACATATACCATTCATAAAAGTGAGAAGGGATTTTTTAAGAAAAAAATTAGATATGTTCCTCATTTGAAAGTATAATACTCACCGGAATTCTCTGTCATTACTTTAACTTTCTTCCTAATAATTTATTCTGATCAAAACTATTCTTGTGACTAACCACTTCCAGTCAAGTTTGTTCCTACAAGCCTGATACCAACACTTCCAATTATCTCCTATAATGTTTTGTTCCATTTAGTTTTCCTATCTGTTTTCTTATACCTACGTAGTACAGGATGAGTTACTTTAGCTGCAAACAGTGGAGACACTAGACGAGTGAGTTCACAATTTAGCATCCACAATTAAAGAAATATTTAAATGTTTGCTTTCAAAGCAATTTTTTTCTGTCACGAAAAGAAATCATTATTGTCAGTAATTAATGTATTTATTGGCATGCTTGTCTGTTTCTTTTCTTGGAAGATACTGAGAATTGGCTTGCAATAAGACAATTTAACAAAAATGGGTTTCCTGCAATTAGTTTGTCTTTAATCCCCAAAAAGCTTTTCAGGACCAATACAATCCAAGGACCTCCCTATCTTCCAAGAAATGGTATCCATAAATTAAAAAAAAACCATCCTGGATGCCATGTGCAGTGTCCATGGACACAACCGCTGCAGGCAACAGAGCTGCACAATATTTAGGATTCAAAGGCATAATCTGCTTTAGAGCATGGAGAAGTATGATTGTAGCATCTATCAGCAACTCTTTAATGTCTTTTCACAAGATCCTTGGTAATTTCTTGATTGGGGTATTGTTTTCTGCTTGTTTGCTTGGTATTGATCCCTGCTTATCTGGGTGTTGGCTTCTGGAAAGGATGTGTTTTAGTCTTTCTGTTTCCTGCCTAGCTTTTTTATTGTTTCTTTTGAATGGTGTGTAAATATGGTTTATGGCTCATATGTCTGAATGCCAAGTTTCCAGAAATTCCCTAGCATTTTTGGATTTAGCTTGGTCTAGGATGCTCACTGTTTCCCATTTGAAACTATGGTTGAGTCTGTCCATGTGCTGCGAGATTAAAGAGTTTTCATCATGTCTTCTGACTGCTAGTTGGTATTCATAGATGCACTCTGCTAGTTTTCTGCATGTCTGTCCCACATAATGACAGTTACAGTCCTTATGTTGTATGTTGTATGTTGTACGTGACTCCTGTTTTTTTCTCCTTGGGCTACTTGGTTACCAAATATACTCAGCTACCAGATACAGTGGATGTATGGTAATAAAGTTGACTAATCAACTCATTTCTTGGCTCTTGCTACCAACTCTATATTCCTTTTCAACATTTACCTTAGCAAACAGGTAGATTAACAGGGTAATATATAGGGCATATAAAGGAAGAGGGAGACTTAATGTTTAATTTCCCATTGCCTTGTCTGATCTGCCTTCTGAACAATGAACAAAATGGATGATGGCATATTCTTCTATTGTCACTATTGTTGCAATGCAAAACAAAACAAAACAAAACACACCACCACCCACAAACAAGAAAAACCAGTAACCCATCTCTTTGTCTTAAGGGGAAATGACCCAGAAGATTATATATCCAAGGGAAAAATACAGGACTTTTCATACAATTCATACAAGAAGAACTGGAATTGCAATTCTCTGTTCTGTTGGACCCTTCCTGAAGCATGCATCTTGACTGTTCTTTTTTCTTGTGTGGTTTTTTTTTAACACACCCAAGCTTGGTACTGGTTGTAAAGAGTGCGCACATACTCTGTTCTTGTTTGGAGCTGTCTCTTTTAAAAAAATTCAGGTATAGCAGTAACCTTGTTGCTGCTGAATATTTTAAAGGAAGAGAACACTAAAATTGCTTGCTTAATTAAATATGTATGCCAATTCCAGGCTTTTGCATTTGAGATGGCTGAAATCAGCTTGGCAGGAGGAAAGGGAGGAAAAGAGATAATGGGGCAGAGAAGTAATTCATTTAAAAAATTAATCAGTATATGGGCACATTAGTGGGTATATGACAGACCTAGCCCAAGAACAAAGTAAAACAGTCCAGCAAAAGCTCAGTTCTTTATTTGCATATACCATATAGACAGAATCTTGCCCAACTAAACCTTTACTACTATCACCTCAATGGGTATATCCTAGAGAGTGGCTATCTTAAATCTCTTTTTCTTCCCATGATCCAGATCCAACTATGCTGTCTCTTGTCTCACTCCCCTTGTTGGAATGTGCTCCCTCCTTCCTGGATCCTGCTGCTTGACTGTAGTCCATCACACCGCCTCCCCCTTCACAGAAACATTCCATCACAGTCTATTTCAGAAGGGACTTCAGCTGTCTGCCTTTCCAGTCTCTGATAATTAAAAAGAAAAGGCCATCTTGGCAACAATTGGGAATGTGGAATTATTTATCTTTTAATATTTGTTACCAAACATCTCAAACTGGTGTGGATTAATCTCATGAGTCAGCTAAGCAAGGACATTATACGGGTAGTCCTTGATGTACAACCACAATTGAGCCTAAAATTTTTGTTGTTAAGCAAGATAGTTAAGAGAGTTTTGACCCGTGGTGGGATTCAAATACCTGAACAACCAGTTCTCTTATTGGATGCAGGCCTGGGCCTCCAAGGCCAAAGCAGACTTCCGGAAGTGGCATCCATGCACTTCTGGCAGGCCATTCTAGGCCTTGAAGGCCTCCGAGGTCTAAACTGGACTTCCAGAAGCAGTGTGCATTCGGCCGGTTCTCTGAACTCAGCAAAATTTTGCTACCGATTCTCCCGAACCGGTGCGAACCGGCTGAATCCCACCACTGATTTTGACCCATTTTATGATCTTTCTTGCCACATTTGTTAAGTGAATTACTAGTTATGAAGTTAGTAACACGGTTGTTAAGTGAATCTGGCTTTCCCATTGATTTTGCTTGTCAGAAGGTCATAAAAACTGATCACATGACATCGGGACACTGCAACCATTGTAAATACATGCCAGTTGCCAACTGTCTGAATTTTGATCACAGGACCATGGGAATGCTGCAATGATCGTAAGTGTGAAAAATGATCATAAGTCATTTTTTCAGTGCTGTTGTAACTTCAAATGGTCACCAAATGAATAGTTGTAAGTCAAGGATTATCTGTATGTGGGGAAAATAGGGGGAGGAAGGATTATGAGGTATGTTGCCACTTTGAATTGTTTATTTTAAAAAGAACCCCATATAAAATAAATAAGTGTATCATAACATAATTGTCAGATGATATACATTGTATAATTTGCTCATTTGCTCAGTGACATCATGGTATGCAATACAATATTGTGGCTTTCATTGGACACCAATTTGGGAAGTCTGATACATGGATTTGATTGCTGATTTTGTTTTATTTTAGGCTTCCAACTTTAGAGAATTCTTTATACATTGCTTTGTTTAGATACATAGAAATTGATTCAATTAAGTTTTCTTGAAATAATAACTACAGTGGCTTGGTTCACACAACGTGGCCAGCCACAACATGGCCAGCAAATCATATTATGGCTTAGTGAGAGATAACAAACTTGTTTGTGGCTGTTGGTTTTTTCCTGTTCTTGCTAAGAAATTACTCCCTATGTGTGTTCTACAGGAGAGGATTCTTGGAAGAATCCTATATATAACCCATATACCCTATATGATGGGTCTTCATCATTTCAAAAACAACCAGTATTAATGTCTATTAAACTGAACACATAATAGTCTTCTAATTTATACATAATACATGATCAAAACACTTTTGCTTAAGTGGCTGTGGGATTCTGGGAGTTGAAGTCCATCCATCTAAGTCGCTAAGGTTGAGAAACGCTGGACTGTGCTATTTGCTTCTGCACATCATCAGATAGATGAAATACTGAAGTTGAGTTCTGAGACTTATTCTCAAAGGAAATGCCAAATGTACAAATCTGATTGGCCAGAGTTGAGCAAAGGAGATGGCTTAAGCAAAAGCATGCTCAGATCCTGCTAGGCACCTTGTATAGATTCTCCAGTTTTTAATTTTGGAATTCTCTGAACCATTCACATGTTATGTGATGCTTTGTTTATACTTAAGCAATAAAAATAGTTTATATCCCAGCAATCCACATGAAATTGAATCACATGGAGCTCCAAGGACTCCTCATGTTGTTTGGTCCTTGCTAAGTTTGTATTTGCTGTAATGATATCTGCACATGTTCAGTGATGTACATGTTGAAAGAGAACCAGCAGTATGTTCTCCAGAGAAAATGGCTTCCTTGATGGGCAAAATTAATAAGCAGACTATGGGATTTTCCATTAATGTTCAATTTGTATCACCTTTCTAGCTCGCTCAAGAAGGAAAATAAATATTGTACTAATCTTGTATCTATTTCTCATATGAGCGGTGTGGTGGCCTAGTGGTGAAGATGCTCGCCTCCCACTCTGAAGATTGAGAGTTCAATCCTAGGTAGTGGCAGATGTTAATCTCCTAGGGCGTAAAGAAAAAATATCTGCTGCAAATTCCATGTGGTGTCAGAAAGGACACCTGGCTGAGCACCATCTACTTGCCCCAACTCTAGCCTGAATAGGGACTACAGGGTCGTAAAAAGGAAGAGTGTCTATCTCTCATATATGACTTACATCAGTGTTTCTCAACCTTGACAATTTTAAGGCATGTGGACTTCAACTCCCAGAATTCCACAGCCAGCATTGCTGGCTGTGGAATTCTGGGAGTTGAAGTCCACATGCCTTAAAATTGTCAAGGTTGAGAAACACTGGCTTACATGAAGACGTACCACTCTTATGATACAAGAGTGGTAACAGAAACTTGGCTGTTCATCTGCTCTTTAGACAAACTTTTGGCTCTTGAGTTATTCCATCCTATCTGAACTCTTTTTATCTTGCAACATAGAAAGGCAGACAGTTGAATTTCTTGGCCAAGCAGGCATGCAGATCAGTCTTTGGTGCAGCAACAAACTCTAGTCATAACCACCACAGTAATGCATTTTCCTTGCTCCTTCTCTCAAACAGCCCCTTGTGCGCAAGTGTAAACCTTTAAGATGTCTCTCAGCAATAGAAAGCAAGTGAGCACTTCAGCACTGAGGAAAATCGCTGCCGACATGAGTAACTTAATCGAAAATCTGGACTCAAGGGAGCTTCATTTTGAAGGGGAAGAATTGGATAGTGATGTGGTACATGATCCAAAAGCTCCTGGTAAGTCAATAGCTCAAGCACATAAAATGCTTCTTTGAAACCTGAGCGTTCTTTTTAAAAAGAAGGTTGATAGTTCTTACTGAATGAGGGGGAAGAGAAATCAAATGTGGGCCATCAAAAAGGGCCATAACTAGAGATGAGAAAAACTTGGAATTTTCTAATCTGCTCTGAGCTTTCTCTTCAAAGAGGTTTGCTAACAACTGCAATAAATTAGGACTACCAGATACCGATTGCAAAAAAAAAAAAAAACCCCACATGATGATTAGGTGGAAGGAAAGAGATACAGAAAATCCCAGGCCCTTACCATTATTTAGCAATTACTGTGTTGGGATTGCGGTGGCTTAGATTGGTAGTGCTAGATAAATTACACAATGATAGTTCTTACTGAATGAGGGGGAAGAGAAATCAAATGTGATTGAATTACACTGAATCGGAGCTCCAGGAACTTTGATGCCCTTTGTGAAGTCTTCAGCAACCATCCTGGCTAACATTTCTCTGTTTCCCGTACTATTAACCCTATTTCTTTTACCAACTAAAAACCAAAACTCTATATTTAATAACTCCAAAAGCTTCTTTTTTTTTTCAGGTGATGAAACCTCCAAAATCCCAACAGATTATATAAGGTCTTCTTGTCACCAGAAAAGAAAAGTTTGAAAATTTGGACCCAGTTTTTTTCCTCAAACTTTTCAGGAATTTTTGGTAACCGGGTTAAGAGAGGAATGGGAGTGTTTTATGTCCAAAAGACTTGCAGTCCCATTCCTTCCCTTATTTTCCAGTTTAAATATGAGACTGCCAAAATCAGGTCCTTTTGACACTGTGTTTCAGAGGTGACATCTTGCGCTGCTTTGGGAACCAAAAAGCTAAGTGTTTGGCAGCGGCATGTCCTGTGACTTTATCCTCCTGCTTTAGACATCTTGGAGTCAAGTCTTACAAAGATCATGAGAAAGCAAAGAACTACACTGAGTGCAAAATTTTTAAAATTTTAACATTTTAAAATTTTTATTCGATAATGTTTTGTTTTAATTGTTAAATTGCTCATACTGTATTGATGTGTGTGTGTGTGTGTGTGTGTGTGTGTGTGTGTGTGAGAGAGAGAGAGAGAGAGAGAGAGAGAGAGAGAGAGAGAGAGAGAGAGAGCGAAGGTAGGAGAATAGAACCAAATATTTTTAATTAATTATTTTTAATTCAGTATGGAATCTGAAGTGGTACCATCTATTCTATTAAATCAGTGTTTGTCAGTCTTACCAATTTTAAGATGTGTTGACTTCAACTCTCAAAATTCCCCAGTCCACACATCTTAAAACTGGGGGGAAAAAACCACCCCGTCCTGAATCATTCTGAAATACAGTAATGGCACAGGGCCATAACTAGAGATGAGAAAAACTTGGAATTTTCTAATCTGTTCTGAGCTTTCTCTTCAAAGAGGTTTGTTAACAACTGCAATAAATTAGGACTACCAGATACGGATTGCAAAAAATAATAATAATATCCACATGACGATTAGGTGGAAGGAAAGAGATACAGAAAACCCCAGGCCTTTACCATTATTTAGCAATATGTGTTGGGATTGCTATGGCTTAGATTGGTAGTGCTAGATAAATTATACAATGATAGATAAACATCAGCTACTTGAGAAGGACAAACTTTTTCATCCAGCATCTGCTTACGCATGTATAAATGTTCCTACTTCTAGCTGAAGTTATTCATGTCCAAAGGCCATGTTGAAACCAGTGTAACAAGTTAACTATAGACAACTTAAGTCCTGTTGTTTTCAGTGGCCTGGTTCATTCAGTGTGCTGTGCCATAATATGATGTGCTTCCCTTAGAGGCACCCAATCAACTATATTTTATTCAACAACCAGTATTTAGTTTAATATGCAAACCATGTGGTAGTTAACAGTAAATATTATTTTAAAAAGCTTGTTTGTTTATAAAAATTATTATGGGCTATCTTGGATTGCATTGAGTCTACTAGCATTGAGTCCCTGATTATCAGAGGTAGATGGGACAACCACTGTATGATTTGCCAGTTGCTCTACAGTTGTACTGGAATCTGGGAAGAAACCTTGAGGTCAACCATGCAAGTACAAAAAAAATGCTATGAAAGAAACCCTTTGCTATTGTGACAACCAGCCAAGGGAAGTAGAAGCCACAGTTGTTGACAAAATCTGCTGATGAGCCCTGTGCTATGAAGCCTCCACCAGAAAACCATGAGTGACATCACCCACAGCTACTACAATAGTGTACTTCCAGGGCCCTGGAAGCTGGAGATCCATTGTTGTAGTAGTTGTGAGTGATGTCGCTCATGGTTTTCTATCAGTTTTTGATAGTACCTCTCTTCAAAAGTGGTAGAGGCTTTAGACAGACAGACAGACAGACGTATACTATAGCTATAGTATATCAAATATGTGTGTGTGTGTGTGTGTGTGTGTGTGTGTGTGTGTGTGTGTGTGTGTGTGTGTGAGAGAGAGAGAGAGAGAGAGAGAGAGAGAGAGAGAGAGAGAGAGAGAGAGAATTCGATATATAGATCAGAGCATATATGTACATGCTGCATGGCTTGATTTTGTTTTGATGCAGCCCAAAGTGTGAATCAACCTTGATTTGTAAACCACAGTTGATTGACATTGTGTGCCAACTGTGTTTTATTCAACAAAGTATGATTAGACAAACTATAAGTTACTGCCAATCTGATCCAGGATGTGAATAATGTTTTGCAGTAGAACAACCCAGATTCAGTTCCTGATCTTTCAATTCAAACAAACAATTATTTTAGGTTTTTATTGTGAAACTTGTCTAAAAAAAATGTATTACTTTTGTTTTCTTTTACATTTCACTCAAATCACTCTCTTGGCATCAGGTTTCCTATTTAAAGGGGTAGTGACTAATACAAAACAATCCGGAGCTTTTATTTATTTGAAAGGAGCTGCTACACCCCATGGAGCACTTGGCTGAAGGAATCCACATTGTGCTGCCATGCCTCAATCTGCCATTTAACTGCTTTTGCTGTAACCTGTTTAACATGCGCTTTAAAACCCATATAAATAACTGATACCTGGCCATCTCATTATTTGCAGTGGGCATTCCATTCTCAGCCATTTATAACACTAAAGGATTTAAAGAGCCACACGTGCAGCTCTACCTAACCGGGTGTCCAGTCCGAGTACGGGTTCTAGAAGTGGAGCGTTTTACGTCAACAACCAAGGTCAGATCTACTCTCTCAGTCATACTTTCATGTTTTGCAAGGCTGCAGGAGGCCTAGTGGGTCGAAATATTTTTTTAAAAAATGGAAGACTAAATTTTTTTTAAAAAAAAACATCGGATATCATGTTTAAAATCTTTTTAATCTAATCCATAGAAATGGCTGGTTTCTGTGTGCTATTTTTAGAAATTGGTACACCTGATGATTTGCATTGGAATCTTCACTACTGAATCCTAATCTTTAATCGAGGGGAATTTTCCCCAAATGTGATAGGAGGGCAAAGGAAAGGAGGAAGATTATTTTTTTTCTTAAATTTATATGCCACTGGTTTCACTATCCAAAGTTCGCTCTGAACCAATTTCATTCCAATTTGACCTTTGTAGCTTTTCCATGCATCAGTGAAAAGAGGTGTTTTGTACACATGAGGATCACAGAACCCATTTTGTGCCCTGGCAGACTTCCCCCTTCCCTCAGATTAAAACAGAAAAATCAGATTTATCTGAAGTCCCAGTTACCCTTCAAAAGTAAAAAGGTGCAGTGATTAGAATGCAGTATTGCAGGCAAACTCTGTCCACAGCCAGGAGTTCGATCCTACCAGCTCGAGGTTGACTCAGCCTTCCATCCTACTGAGGTCAGTAAAATAAGGACCCAGATTCTTGAGGGCGATATGCTGACATTGTAAACTGCCCAGAGAGTATAACACTATGGAGCAGCATATAAGGCTAAGTGATATTGCTATCTTGGTCCTATTTTGCTCTTGAATCACAAAAGAGGTTCTAGGAACCAGTTATAGTTCATGGATCAATTCTCTATGATTTGTGGCATCCAATTGCTTAGTAAGAGCAGGTAAATTACATATTTTTTTCTCTGAAATGATACTTATGAGAGGGGGTTTTATGTACTGAGCTATTTTTATGCATCTTTTATTGTTGGGAAATAATGTCTAATTACTTTCCCCTTAATACAGACATGTCAAACACAAGGCCCGGGGGCCGGATGCGGCCCGCGAAGTGGTTTCATGTGGCCCGCGAAGCCATCCTGGAAACAGTGAGGGAACGGCCCCCTCTGCCTTGGCCCTGGCCCAGGCCGGCCGGGAGCCAATGTACAATTTTGTGGTGGCCATCTATGCTGAAACACATTCAGTCTTAGCTCCATTAGCCCCCCCCCTCTGCATGGCCTGAGAGGAACAGTGAGGCTCCTCTAGTGGACCATGCCTTGGCACTTGCCCTGGTCCCACCCCCTTCTGCCAGAGACCCTCAGATCTATCCCACTCCTGCCCAGGCCCCCATAGGCACCCTTGATGCGAACAATGTAGAGCTGGCCACACTCACCCAGCAGGCCACACCCACTCCATTCACACCCACCCAGTAGGCCGCACCCACCCTGGCCACCCGGCCCCCTGAGGTCAACCGCAACGCTGATGTGGCCCTCAATGAAATTGAGTTTGACACCCCTGCCTTAATATGTTTCTTTTTCAATGACACTGACTCAGGATAAATCTTGCTGAAATGTAATACAGGTAGTCCTTACATTTCAGATTCGTTTAATGAACGTTCGAAATTACAATAGCACTGAGAAAAGTGACTTGTTTGTCACACTTAGAACCGTTGCAGCATACCCGTTGTCACTTGATCAAAATTCAGATACTTGGCAAACGGCATATATTTATGACGGTTGCCGTCTCCCAGATCATATGATCATCATCCTTTGCAACCTTCTGACAAGCAAAGTCAATGGGGAAGTCTGATTTCACTTAACAATTGTGATACCGACTTACCAACTGCAGTGATTTTCTTAATTGTGGCAAGAGAGATCATAAAATGGAGCAAAACTCATTTAACCGTCTTGCTTAGCAACAGAAATTTTGGGCTTGGTTGTGGTTGTAAATCGAGGACTACTTGTATTAAATGAGAGCCTTGGTTAATTGATCTACAAGAAGGTCACTAATGGACTCTTTGTAGAACGTGCTAACATGAAAGAGAAGAAGAGAATGACTAAATAATCTTCTTTGAGCCTTTAACGTCTGGTTTCCTTTTTGAAGGTGCCAAGCCCCCGTGTTTACACCATTGAGCTGACCCATGGGGAGTTTATATGGCAAGTGAAAAGGAAATACAAGCATTTTCAGGAGCTGCATAGAGAACTCCTTCGATACAAAGCTTTTATCCGAATTCCCATCCCAACACGAAGGTGATTGCATGCAAATCTTTCTAAATGGGGTTTTTGTTTGCGTGTAGGGTGGGGAAAGCACTCATACCTACCCAATTTTCCTCCAGTGGTATGCTATGATTTGGTGAGAGCTCAGCAATTTGTAATGGCTTTGTGATTTTTCTCTCAGACAATATTGTTCAGATTTGTATCAGCTTTACCACTATAGTAGTCTTAGTATATCTGTATCACCATTTGCCAAGAAGTTCCAAGATGGCATAGTTGGTTCTTTCTCTTTTTTAAAAAGAGGAACGTATTGTTTAACTCTATGAGGTTGGATAAGCTAAAAGATAGTGAATTACCTAAAGTAGGGCCGTCATATTTGAATTATAAGCATGCAGATGGCTAGCTTTGTTGAGTAGCTGATATCAAAGAAATACAGAAGGTTCTGAAGCTTTGCCACCACTAATTTTCTTCAGGGTTTTTGCAGTTTAGATATAATAGCTCTAACCTAAGACACTTCCTCACCGAACAAGATTTTGAATCCGTATTGCTCCTACACCAGACATGTCAAACACAAGGTCTGGGGGCCGGATGCGGCCACAAAGTGGTTTCATGTGGCCCGCGAAGCCATCCTGGAAACAGGGAGGGAACGGCCCCCACTGCCTTGGCCCTGGCCGGGAGCCAATGTATAATTTTGTGGTGGCCATCTGTGCTGAAACGCATTCAGTATTAGCTCCACAAGACCATCTGGAAACAGCGAGGAACCAGCCCCTGCTGTGTCATCCCCGCCCCCTGGGTGCATGCTGGGGAGGTGTCACCCTTTGTGAGGAATGAAGAAATGCACCATCGCCTGGAAGTGGGCAGCAAATGGCCCTCGCCTACTTCACATATCCGGCTTGATGGGCTCCAGCGGAGGGGTTTCAGCAGGCAGTGTGGCTCCTCCAGTGGACCATGCCTTGGCACTTGCCCCTGTCCCACCCCCTTCTGCTAGAGACCCTCAGATCTGTCCCACTCCTGCCTAGGCCCCCACAGGCACCCTTGACGTGAACGATGTAGAGCTGGCCATGCCCACCCAATAGGCCACACCCACTCTGTCCACGCCCACACAGTAGGCCACACCCACCCTGGCCACACCCATCTGCCCCCCCAAAGGCAACTGCAATGCTGATGTGGCCCTCAATGAAATTGAGTTTGACACCCCTGTCCTACACTGATGCTCTAACCCAGAGGTAGATGGGAAGGTCTCCATGCAGTCTCCCAGCACATTGATTCAGCCCCTAAACACTCTTCAGAAGTTGCTGTTGTGATCTTATTAACACCGTTCTGACCCTATCCCTGCTTTAACTACTGCTGGCTTTCAGTGGTTAGTTTTATGGCATTGAACATAATGTTTCCAAAGGTTGGGGTACCCACAGATGCTTTTTCAAAAGGCAACTGGACTTGCTTTATTTTTCCTTTTCCTTCTCATCCAAGAAGCTTCTTCAGTGCACATTTGGGACAATCATGACCCGGATGACTGAGAATCTCAATAGACATTTAGGATGGGGGTACCGTTGCCAAAATTTCAGCAGGCCAAGAATTGGCTTCATGTAAATTAAGTTACTTTGTGATTGCATGGGAATGGGATAGTCAAAATAAGCAGTGGCTTAAAAGCAGTTATGAACATCTGTATCAAAGCATCATGCGCTATTATTATGGTTGGTCACATAGTCAGCCAGAGGATTAGACTGCATTTTGCATTTTTGTCCACCTAGCAAGTCCTTCCCATGGATCTGCAATAGGCAGATATTGTTGTTTAATAACATTAAAGGTATCGTCACGATTTCCTGGTTTCTGGTCAGCACCCTTAATTACTACATCAAACTAGCTCTTATAATGCCTGCTTATTATTGCTAAGAACCAGGTGATCACCAGGACTCTGGAAAATTCTTTGGCAGTAAATCCTGAAGAAGACTGCCCTAGCTAATGGAGATTATCTTCAAAGAAGCAAAATTGCTGAGACAGCAGTTTTATGGGCAATGTAAATGCAAAAAAATAAACTCTTGGTTTTATTATCTACTGTATCTGTGATCTTTTCAGCCAGTTCTGGACAAATCCCTGCAGTTTTCATGGCAAAATTCCAGAAGTGGCTTGCCAATGACTCCTTGTTAGGGATGAGAGCGTGCAACTTTCCCACCATCATCCAACCAGCTTCCAAAGAGTTCATGGTCTTCTAGTTTCTAGTTTGATGCCTTAACCCCTGCACCAAACTGGCTCTCTCTTTGCTATCTACTAATATTACTATTATCTACTATCTACTAGGTGACCTAGAAAAATGATTGCTCTTAATGGTGTGTGAATGTTTAATTTAGAGATAATTGAAATCATCACTTTCGGACCAAAGTAATAGTTTTAAAATTTTCAAGCTATATCAGAGATTGCCAGATTGATTTGGTTCGGAGATGTTGTGGTCCATTCACCCATAGATTTGAATATCTAAACTGGCCTGATTTAGATATCTGAATTTTGTTGAATCAATTCCAAATGAACTTGGTGATTCTAGTAGATCAACTCAGTAATCCAAATCAGTTTTATAGTTTTAATTGTTCAGACACATTTATTGGCTAAGACAGAACTTAATCGTTTATGTAAGTGAAGTGTGGTAAGGGTATATTTCGGACATTTTGTGCTGGATGAAAATACAAGCCTCAAGGTGCACATGCAATTAATGTATCGATGTGTGTTTTATGTTATCTTTCCCAGTAATTAAAGGCATTTGAATCATTAGCTGCAAATGTTTTCTTTTTAACAATGAGGATATTTCTATTGGCAAAATTCACCTTTCATCTCTGGGACACATTCAATGTTGTATTTTTTAGACACACTGTGCAGAGACAGACTGTCAAAAGGGGAGAAGCAAGACAAATGCCGAGTCTTCCACGCACCTCTGAAAACATGGTCAGAGAAGATCATCTCTCCAGTAGAAGAGTAAGATCCTTCATCTGAAAAATCAGTTTTAAGTTGTTTTTTAATTTTAACTTTAGACTTTGGTTACTTATCTAATTATAGTTTCCATAAATGAGGTTATGCATATGTTTCATGCATAGCATGTCAGTTGTTTGTTCCTATTTCACTGCTCCCTTTACATTTGTAATTGATAAAGCTAGAGAGCTGGAGAGCTGAATATCTAACTAAGCTTTGAGCTATACTTATGACCTCCTAAGTAGACCATTCTAGTGTATTGGGTAGATCGGAGGTCTTCAAATTTGGCCCTTTTATGACTTGTGGACTTCAACTCCCAGAATTCCTCAGCCAGCAGGCCTGGCTGAGGAATTCTGGGAGTTGAAGTCCACAAGTCATAAAAGGGCCAAGTTTGAAGACCCTGGGGTAGAGTGTATAGCAGTGATGGCAAACCTTTTAGAGACCGAGTGCCCAAACTGCAACTCCAAACCCACTTATGCATCGTCGAGTGCCGGCTGAGTGTGGCCCATTGGGTGGGCGTGGCTGCGGTGATAACGGCAGACTGGGTGGGACTAAAAAGTTCAATCAATTCCAACTTTGCAAGATCTTTTTTTCCCGCAAGAAGTTGAAATTGACTGACTGATTGAACTTTTTTTTTTTTGCACACAGCGGCGGAGGCCTAAAGCGAAAAGGTTTAGGACTGGGGCGACGGCGTGCGTGCCCACAGAGAGGGCTCTGAGTGCCGCCTCTGGCACCCGTGCCATAGGTTCGCCACCACTGGTGTATAGAGTTCAATCATTATCATTATCTAATCATTAACTTCCAGAAGGAGGTAGTCTGCAACTTTGGTGGTCCTTCTAGACTCATGGCTTACCAGTTGAAGCTATTCCTAGGAAAGCTGCTGGTGGTCTTCTTCATCACAAGACTCTTAGACTCTAAAGAGATTTAATGATGGCCTTCAGGGAGGTATGGAAGACTATTAAAATTGAGGAAGAAAAAACTGAACTGTTAAGCAGAACTTGGAGACTGAAGGAAAACCTGAGAATGATATCCCTTGATTTTGTTTAGTATGAAGGAGGGGGGGAGAGAGAGAAATTTGAATAGAATTTCAAGGTTCTGTTTTTCCATCTTTTTTACAATAATAGTAGCATTCCTGGAATCCTTGAATTGCTTGGTTTTTTTTTTACCCCACCTAACTTAGAAGCCTTGTAAATCCCACTTTTGATGGGACTGGCTTTGAAGACAAATACAGTTGCCTGCATGTAAGCCACCTGATATCGTCATACTGTACCAGCGGTGTGGCATTGCACTGGTTGTTGGTTTATTTCCAAATACAATCACGTTTCTTATTAAATTATGTAAAGCCTATATGGATTAGGGCCAAGAACGCATTTTGAAAGTGACTTCTCTCCTCTGAGAAGTGGAAAGAGAAGATGAAGCAGTGAGTAGTCTACCCTTGAGAGCAAAGCCTTGGGAGTTGAAGTCCACGAGCCTGGACTACTGTAATGCTCTCTACATGGGGCTTCCCTTGAGGAGCACCCGGAGGCTCCAGCTAGTCCAAAATGCGGCCGCGCGGGCGGTGTTGGGAGGGACTCGTCGCTCCCACGTAACACCGCTGCTGCGTGAGCTGCATTGGCTGCCGGTGGCCTTCCGGGTGCGCTTCAAGGTGCTGACTATCATCTTTAAGGC